GATGGAAAGCAAAATGAGTAATAGGCGATGTAGCATTAGTTGGTAGTGGTTCCTACTGTGCAGTACATGCATAGAAGACAGGCTACAGCTATAGTGGTAAGACTTGCTGATCAGTTCAGGATGTTATATCTGAGAGACTGTTGGGGCCCTGAGTGCACCAACAGCCTCTTCCCCACTCTTGGCCATTTGGCTGCCTGTGCTTGAGGCCGGCTTTGATATGGTGTAGCTGTAACAGGGAAGGACTGGGAGATGCCTCCTCAGGAGTTCCCTGCTTCCCTTGGATGCCACGGAGAAGGCAAGAATTACTCCTTAGCTGATGGCAGAAGGATCTGCAAAAGGGAAAATTGAAGGGGCCACGACATAAGGGCTAAATTTAAGGAAGGATGATAAACATATTTTATTTGTTTTCCATGTGTAATGGAGCTTCTAAATATCCTGCTCTTCTGCTTGCCTATATCCTTGAACTCATAAACTAAGGGGTTCAGATCAAGTTAATCTTTTTCTGGCAACAAGCATAATTTCTGCCTGAAGGTACAACTTGCATATTGGTGACACATGTTGGCTTGCCACAGCTGAAAAAGTAATGAAGGGGGGAGGAGGGACTGTTCTGTTATGGTACCTGATGGTTATGGAGGGAAAAGGTGGTTTCTGGATATTCTTTCCACATACGAGCAAGCTTGTGTTATCCTGATTGTGGCAATGGCAAATAATAACAGTTGGAGTCATTAAAGTTTGCAGCTACTTAATGCAAATTAAATTGTGGCACTTACGTGTCCTTTTTTGAAATGAAGAAATAGAAAATAAGTTCAATTGCATTGCTCTTGTCTGTGTGACAGAATAATGTGACATTGGTGTAGCATATGGAAGAAAGACATTGGAACAGTCATGGGTAACTACACAAGATCAATGAGAGATCTGGACTAGATCTACAAAGTGCTGAGTGGCACAGCTTTCTTCATAGAAGAAGGGAAATCCACGTGTGGCCCATAAGTGGGAAGTAAGTTTGAAGACAAATGCCTGGAAGATACGTGTTAATTGATAAACTACCCATAGGAAAACAACAGCTCAACTAAAAGTAAAAAAAAATATAGACAAACATCCGAGTTAAAAAGTAATTTCAGGATGGGAAATACTCTTCTGGGAAGCAGTGACTTCAAAGGGTTTGGGGGTTGTGGTGGAAATGATCTCACAGTGTAACACTCCTGTCAAAAGTGCTTATGCAGTTCTGAAATGAGAAAATTGGACCAACTTCAATAGGAGAGAGAATAAATATTTGAGATTGGTATAGCTAGCTACCTCTCGAAGGTACTCCAAGAACACCAATAATTGAGTGGAAAGTATGGATAAACTGCAAAAATTATCAAAGGAATAGAGAAGCATGTCTAAAAAGAGCTCTCAAAGCTCGATCACTTTAATACCAAAGAGAAACTGTAGCGTATCTCAGTTCCTGAACATACTTGACGTGGTTGGAGCAAGGATGGGGTGACGAAAGAGTTTTCAAGCAAGACGACAACGTATAATGACATGAAGTCACCAGAAGTAGAAGCCAGGTCTAAAAAGCTTCTAAGATCTAAACTATTTAGGCTCACTAATAAGTATGCTTTAGAACATCTATCCAAAGGCTGATAGGAGTTTTCTATTATAGAAACTTAAAATAGAAATATTTTTTCTTCTTCTTTTTAAGCTAAGAAAAAAATTTAAGCAGAATTGCTGGAAATTACATCATTGTCCATGTCATGTGCTAACAAATGATTGAACTTTCAGTTTTATTTATGAATTTACAGGTCTCTGAATATGTCAAGAGTGTGGATGTTCACTTCAAAGAGATTGCTTTAGGGTTGTGGCACTATAGTTTTCCTGCCAACTTAACCTACCTCTCTGCTTATTTATTTCAAAGCATGTTGCTACTTTTTTCTTTAATCCTGAGATTTCTGAAACCTCTTTAGCTCAAGGAAAATAAATTGTATTTACCTTGTGTCAGGCTTTGAGCCAGACCTACTGACGCAACCCATTCAAAAGTTTGAGAAAGCGTACACTGAAACAACAAACTTTGAAAGTCGCCAAGACATGACAGAGCAGAGCATCTCTCACTGGCAGAGCATGAGACTGAGGAAGTCCTTGGTCGGAGCAAGCATTACTTAGCAGCAACTAAAAACATCAGCGTTATCAGCGTTGTTCCCAGGCTGAAAGTAAAAAACACAGCACTGCAGCAGCTACTAAGAAAGAGAAAACTGACTGCTACTGCTGAACCCAGGACAGTAATAAGTTTTTTTAGAATCTGCATGCTTTGGGCTCAGAAAGGTGTTTTTATGGTTTCTTTCTAACTTACGTTTTTAATCCATCACAGGAGTGAACTGGATCTGCTCCCCGCAGAGCTTCATTTAACTTCAGCATATGTTACAACTGGTGGTTCGCTGTGGGCCGTTGCAGATAGTTCCCCACAGTGGAATAGGGCACCTTTCTAATTTTTCTTTTAAGCAAATATATTCCCACCACCGAAAAACATGGGTCTCATTAGCAGCTGCAGCTTTCACAGAGGTCTCTGTAAAAGCATACCTGCCACCATCAGCAGCTGCATACTGGACTTGCAGCTGCTCTGAGCACACTCCTTATTTCAGGGTTGCTTTACACTGGCACAGGCAATACCTCAGTTATAGACCTTTGAAAAGTGTCAAATCCACTTAAAAACATACTCTGCAGGAAGAACAGAAACAGGCTTCTATGTGTCACTAAGTTTAGGCATTTTTGACAGGGATACTTTTATTGACAGGATGAAAACTTAATATTTTGCTAAATGGTTTAAATTATCATGTTGAACAGATTTGAAATGTTTAGTTAAATGCTATTATTAACACAGTGTCTTCCTAAGTATTTGTATGTGAGAATTCATGTCAGATTTTTTTTCATGGTATGAGCATAAAAATGCAGAGAACCAAATGAAAAAGGTGCAGTGAGAGCACTCATCAGTGCTTCCTTCTACTGCCTTATAACTCCAACACACTTATTTCTAATTGAATGAAATTTTAATTACCCGATCAAAGAAGAGTGAAGAGAAATAGAGTGATTTGAAAAACAAATTTCACAAGCAAACACGATTGAATAATTCAGGGCAGTTTTCCATTAAATTTGCCCCCCCCTTTTTTTTTTTTAAGAAATGTTGTTAAAACTTTGAAAACAAAGGTTATGCAATATTTCTTCTATGTAAATATTTATACCACATGGTCATGCACACTTAGTTTAACATGATGTTAACTAGCCTAGTAAAGGATTTTAGTGGGTCTTTACTCCGCAAAATACTGGGGGCTAATTCCTATGTGTAGCTCTATTTATGAGTCAGTTCATATGTAACAGATTAAAGGGAAAACTAAAGATAAGAGCCTATATCGAAGCTGGCAAAATGCCTTTTCAGTTTTCAGTGAATTGACCTTTTTCCCTGGTTACCTTTCCTATCTGTGATCACCTGTATATTTTCACATTTAGAATGCTCATGAAAGCTTTCTGAGCCAGTTCAATGGATTAAAAATACTGATTCTGTAAACTGGCAGATAAAGAAGTGCAAGGTCGATATTTAGAAAGCCAAGCGGAGACATGTTCTTTTCAAAAAGCCAACAAAACCAACAAACAAAATCCCCCCAAACCAACAAACAACCAAGATCAAACCGCAGAATCTCCCTGCCTGAAATCTAACAACCTCAGAAGACCTTTTTGAGAGAGGCTGTGACTAAAACTGCCCAGAATGTAGAGCAGGGAGACTTCAAACTATCCAACTATGAAGGGCGGGGGATGACTTTGCAGTCAAATAACACCTCTAAAGAGCCCTTACTGTTGCAATCAGAAGTGTTTCTGATATTAAGAAGATGGTCCACGCACTATGAAACAAACAGCAAAGCAACAAAGGCACTTTTAAACACAATTTTTACCGCATAGCTGAATGTCAAAAGAAAAAAAAAAAAAAGAGAGCTGAATAATATATGAGGAGAAAAGAAGTAGGGAAAAATGTAGGGAAAAAAACCCCACAACAGTAAGAAATGCACTCCTTTAGGAAAATAACAAACGCAATAAAATTAACAATCGTTCATTTTCTAGTTACTGCAGTGACTATGCAATCGATAGAAATGCAGTAGAAATACGTGTTGGAAGAGAAATGCGGTATTGCCAATGGCCATCATAAATAATCCTTCATATTTTGTTAATTATTAAAAGCAACTGTTGCTTGCTACACTTGCACAGACTTATGGAATATCATGAATACTAACGGAGGATTAGACACTTGGATATGTCCAATTCTGTAGTGCAGAATTAGATTTTTGTGACATGCTATAAAGAGAACTTAAAGGCAAATTAGAAAAAGAATTACAGTCTGAAGCTTGAAGAGAAATATTATCAGTCCCAAAACAAGTAAAATCCAAACCCTTAAAATCTTCAGGAGTTATAAAAGCTTTAAGAAAATAATGATTTTGTTTCAACATTATATAGTAATTATTTACCTCACTTGGATGGGGTAAAAAATAATTCAGCTAACCAATTGAAGCAATGTAAAAATACAGCTTAGGAAATGTACTTTGTTAACATTAAAATCACACAATAAAAGAACATATGGAGGTAATATAACATTTAAAATCATTTCAGAAAAAAGCTTTGACAGAAGAAGACTAAACTAAAAGGCAAAATTTACAACAAAATCCTGAAAAGCCAGAAACATCAAATAGAATCAAAATAATCAAAAGCATGGGCAATACTGAAAAAAAAGAAGTATTTGAAGTTGAACAGAAAATTGGAGTGAGTAAATTCAGGAGAGCATAAAGCTAAAATACCGAAGTTAAGAGAGTCTTAAAACTTTACTGTTTCTCAGACTAGTGTGGGATATTTGCAGGAGTAATTTGAGCGTAATGAAGTTAAATATCTCCAGTGCCTTGTAGCAGTAAAACACAATCTTAAAGTCCAAGCAACAAAGTGGAAGTTAAATGCCCTGTAGAAGAGTTTAAATGTTTTGGTCCTACCGAAACAGTAAGTTGTTGTCCTATTCATCAGGCCCTAACGAAAATCTATGCAGCTGGTCTCCCTTGTTCTGCTGATCTGTAGAGAATATAGGCAAAGCTTTTGGAGTAGTCCCATTTGAGTGCTGAGCAGCCTGCTTTTAAATATCACCTCCTCCCGAAAGCAATGCAGAAGCAATTACTAAATTTTAGCTGACTAAATTATAGCCAAGATGGACAGTCCATGCGTTTCTACTTGAATTTCTGCTCTTTCTCAGTGCCTTTTTTTTTCCCCCTCTTTTACTCTTGCTCTGAAAAAAAAAAAAAAATCTTTTGGAAAGTTGACCTCCAGCCCCTCCTTTTTCTCCCCATTTGAGAACCACAGAACAGTCTTGATCCAACAGTCTTCAGGCAGAGGCATTTTCAACTGATGGCAGCTCATTTTTTCCTGTCACTCAGGTGGAAAAAGGGGCATAATAAGGAAAAAGTGAGAAGGCCTGCAGATAAAATCTGCTGTGCTCTTTAGTACTTGTTCAGGGCTCATAACTGCAAGTTTCCTTCTCTGACAGTCTTGCTCTCTAGAAAGAGCATTATAAATATGCAAGCAGCTCCTCAGCAGTTTCCTAAGTGTGAGAATAGCAATTTTCTTTGATGAACTCCACTCCAATGAAGGAGTCTTCTGGAGTAACTAAAAGTAAAACCGTACAGGAGGAAAGGCTTTTTCCTTAAGCTTGGTAACTGCATGTACTAAACCCAGATAAGTTTATCAGAATGCGGACTCAATAACTCAAAACATTTCATGTCCCTTTATAATTCTGTGGGTTTAATTATACATTTCAATGGTATATTAATAATTTTAGTTTGCTACTTTTACGGCCATGTGCGCATCATATGTGCCATGGGCTTGGGTTTTTTTTTATACCTATTTGATTAAGTTCTGTGCAAGGGGATAGTTAGAAATAAGTAATCATAAAGCTATTTGGCCACTGACAAGACAGCTCATGTTTGCAGTCCAGGGCACCACAAGTTTCAGATTTGAATAAATGGTGACGTGTCAATGGGGTTTTGGAAGCCAATTGATCAAATTTGATTTAACAGCCTCAAGAGTGTTTGTATGAAAAAAGATGGGGGGGGAGGGGGGGGGAGGAAAAGGCCCTGATTTGAAATAAAACTGCAACCCCTATGCATTTCTCTGTGTGATCAACAAGGCTATTTTTATGAGGATAGTTTTTCCATGTTCCTTCAGGATTGTATCAAGACTATTCCTGGGTTAGAAAAAAACCTCTTTTGTAAGGTCTTTTTACTAATTTTTTTCCTTGGTAGACTTCCCCCAAATGTTGTCATTTAGGTGAACAAAGGCTAAGGTAATATGAGCTGCCTTTACAGGACATGAAACATTTGAAAACAGTGTAGGGCCATGGGAATTGCTGCTTTGAAGATGGACCCCTTCCTCACATCCCACACAATGGAAAATTTTGTGAACATCAAAAGTTTAAAAATTCACTTTTCTTTTACTGCTCCACACTTAAAGCACTAACAGACTGTGAAGTTGTCTTTTGGTTTTTAGTGCTTTCTAGAAAGTCGTATATTTTTTGACATGTTTGAAGGCTTTCAGTTTCCATATATTTAATCACAGATTTCTTCTTCTTTCTTCTTCATTTTCAGTAAATTACCACAACTCTTCACTGACAGCAGCCATTTATTTACTTGGCTTAAAATGCTGTGCTCTTGTGTTTGGCCTGAATAGCTGTAATGACTGCTTTCCTAGGAAACTCCTGTTGCTAACAGTATGGGTATTCTGTAAGTAAGCTGATTTCCTTCGTTTTTTGTTTTTCCTTTCCTCCATTAGAAACTAATTTCTCCATTTTTGGACTGGGGTTTTGCTTTCCCAGTATTACAGCTTCAGTTCTCCTCTTCCATAGTGAAACATAGCAATGAATAGACCATGGTCTTGTAAATTATGAAAGGCTTTGATACACATATGAATGGTAAGATACCAATGGGACAAAAAGCAAGTAACTGTGTGCTTTAAGTATGTACATGTCATGGTTTAAGCCCAGCCGTAACTCAGAACCATGCAGCCGCTCTCTCACTCCCCACTGCTTCCTCCCCCCTCTCCTGGAGGGATGGGGAGGAGAACGGAAAGAATGTAGCTCCCATGGGTTGAGATAAGAGCAGCCCAGTAACTAAGGTATAACACAAATCACTGCTGCTGCCACCGATAATAATAATGATAAGGGAAGTAACAAGGGGAGAGAATACAACCGCTCACCACCCACCGACCGATACCCAGCCCTACCTGAGCAGTGATCTAGCCTTTCTGGGTAACTGCCCCCAGTTCATATACTGGGCATGACGTGCTGTGGTATGGAATACCCTTTGGCTAGTTTGGGTCAGGTGTCCTGTCTCTGCTTCCTCCTGGCTTCCCCTCCTCCCTGGCAGAGCATGAGACTCACAAAGTCCTTGGTCAGGCTAAACATTACTGAGCAGCAACTAAAACCATCGGTGTTATCAGCGCTGCTCCCAGGCTGAAAGTCAAAAGCACAGCACTGCAGCTGCTACTAAGAAGGAGAAAAATGACTGCTGCTGCTGAACCTAGGACAGTATGTAATCTATTAAAGTGAGTGAAGGTATTCAAAGACTTAACTGTGACCATGAGCTTGTATGTTTTCCTGATTCAAAGTAATTTTTTTCACAGGCAGAAGTCTGAAGGAGTTTTAGTTAAGTCATAATGCAACAACTCCAGATTTCCATGGAGATTATTCTAGTTGCTGGGGAATAAAATTTGACCAAAAATCAGCTTTTCATAGAAGATTTATGTAGCCATATAATATTACTATCCAAATGCGATGCTAAGGAGTATTCGTACTACAGTAAGTTGTAGCACTAATGTAGAATTTGAGCAGTTAAAGTAAACCCCACCAGGGTGTAAAAGGACTATTAACATCTTTTTGTTTCAAAATGAATAACTTTATAATTCAAAGAAAAACTTTGGCATTCAAGATGTCACTCTTTGTAATAAAAATTTGAAGAAATGCGTTTTCCCATTCCCGGCCCTGGTATTGTCAAATGAAGATTTCTGAGTGCCTTCAAAGAAGTAGTAATTAAGAGTTTAATATTTACATCATTACACAATCAAAGAGGTAACTAATTTGCATGTTTGTAACATTCTCTTCAGGTTTTTACTGTTTTTGTCACTGTAGTATGGCAGTAACAGTGAAAAGATGTGCTCCGGAGATAAGTTTTTAATGTGAAACCAGCCTCTTGTGGCCAAGCTTCTGTGCTTTGCAAGCCAGCAGGAATGCACAAGGACTCAGCCAAGGGATACACAAATAATTAGTTATTTATTAAGCATACTGTTAGGAATATAACGACATGTACCATGAAGATTAGGATACTTGGGGCAATCTTACAGGCGTAAGCCATTTTGCCTTCATAATCCTCTGAACATCTAACTGAAAACTTAGTCTGGGGCATAGTTTCCCCATTTGATTTAAAATGTGCATAGATAACCTTACCTAAATTTTACGATACCAATTTAAGTACCTAACTCCAGTCTGAATGCTGCTCACCTGTTGTTACAGACAAATATAGCAAAGACCAAAAGTTTTTCAGAAACTATCATGTTTGGTGTTAATATCTGAATAAAATTATATTGCAGAATATCCGGGGGTTTCTGTTCCAGCTAAAGAAAATGTACAATTCTTTGCCTTTGCTTTTCCAAAAAGCATCCTGAGTGTTAGCTTGGATCCTGGAATCACTTAGGTCAACAGAGCTCCTGTGGAAAGATATGTCCAGCAATCAGAAATGGAGGGGGGAAAAAACATCTGTCTTCTGTGTGTTACCTGAATGTGCTTGAGATGCTTGAGAGGCAACGTTTGAGGGACCAGATAGAGGTGAACATGGTGAGCAAAAATAACTGAATGGTGCTCCAAGAAGCTTCTCGGAGTAGCTCTCAGAAGAAACTTGCAACAGCAAGAGGAAGACAGGCTTGCCAGAACGTAAAATTTTGGAGGCTTTTGAAAGACCAGATGTTTTTCTCTTGTTTTCTTCTTGTGTTACTTCACTTTCGTTGGGTGACAAATATGAAGTGACAGACTTACTTAGTGGTAGAGTGGTTTGAATTTTAAAGGACTCGAATGTTCTCAGTTGTTAAAATTGACACTTATCATATGACAAACTTTAACAGCAAGCAAATTTTACAATGGAAAGAATTTTTATTGCAAAACTTTATGTGCTGATATCTGTAGGGCAATTTACAGCGTTAGCAATTTCTTTTCTTTTGAAAATGCTATTCTTACTCTATTTCAAGTGTTCAAGTTAAAAGTGTTCTGATTTTATGTTTTATTTTCCATTTGAAATAAGAAATAACTTAGACAAAATTGCCCATAAAGGAAAATCAATTTTACAGACACTGCTGTTACTCGAATTAGGGCCAGATCCAGCTTCTATTCCAGCCCTGAGGCACATCTTGTTATATTATTGCAGATATTTATGGGATGTAATTAGTTTTCTCATTTAAAAAAAAGAAAAAAAGAAAAAAAGAAATTCCAGGGACTTGTTCTGTGTGCTTTGAAATGAAACTCAGCTCTCACCCTGGAGAGTGGTTTAGGTTGTCAGACATGATGAAGGAAGCCTGGTTTGCATTCACGGTATCAGCAAACGTAGCCCTATGAAAAATCTGGGATGTGTGCACGTTTGTGTGTCTTTCCGTTCTCTGTTTCATCTCACTCAGATTTTCATTTTCTCCCTGTTTGGCTCTTTATATTTTCTACTGTTGTAAGTTTACAAAAAAATACAGGTATTTATTTTGCTTTTCCTTTTTTTCACCCCTTATTTCCTCTTTCCATAAGTGGCACATCTTGGCTTTTCTTCTATATTGTCTTATGAACGTATTCTTCTATGACATTTGTCTTCCCACACTTCTTTTCCTATCTGCTATTTCCTTGTCCTCCCTTTGATGTTTTCAGGCGCTCTTCTGTCTGTCCTTCATCCACCTTTTTTTTTTTTATCTATGTTTTTTGTTCCCTGTCATTTCCCCCCATTTGTCATTCTCTCCTCATAATTTCATCTGGCTCCCTCACCATACCTGCATCCCTCTTTCTTATCTCCAACATGTATTGTTGTGTGACTCCTGACTCTTTCATGCCTCCCTCCTACCTGTACGTGGTACCTTCCTCACATGTACATCTTTCTGTAGGTGTTACTGTTTGCATTAGGGCTGGGATGAGACATGAGGAGTTTTTCTCCTCTTTCAGAT